GTACTGCCTGGGATCGATTTGATTCAGTCAAGACTTCTCCCACTAGGGGTACAGCATTTCATTTACTTTAGGTGGGGTGAGGTGATTTGATTGATTTACTCCCCCATCTTTACAAATATAAAGTGAATACATAAAAATATATACAAAGTAGCTAAATACAAGGTAGTGTGGCAGGACTTACACTTGTAGTTAGTTGCAAGGATAAAGAAAAGTTCATGCAGATGATGGTTTTTGAAAGGTAACTTAAAGGAAAAGGGGGAATCCTACGAGGCTGAGGTAAGGAGAAAGGGATGCCCACATGTGTGTACGTATATGGGCATATAAGCAGTTATGTATGAAGATGATAGACAAATCTGTTAGTCATTTCCAGAGGAATGATAGTTAAGCCCATGGGAGATGATGGGGTCCTGAGAGAGAATTTTAGAGTAGTAAGGAGAATAGGAGAGAACCTTGGGGAACATCCACGTATAGAAGCCATAATATGAATGGTGAGCCAGCAAAGGAGACTGAGTAAAATTAGTCAGACAGATTAAAGGAGACCTAGGAGAGAGGAGTGTCATGAAAACTCAGAAAGGAGAGAGTATTTAAGAAGAGAAGTTGATCAATAGTATCAGATACGGGAAATAGGTTAAGACGAACAAGGACTGAAAACAAACAAACAAATCAACCTTTAGATTTGTCAATTAGAGATTATTACTCACTTTGGAGAGAGCAGTTTCAATTGAAGGATGAAGTTGGAAGACAGATTGCAAAGAGTTGTGGTAAAAATATGAGGTAAGGAGGTGGAGGGAGTGAGTGTAGAGAGCTTTTTGAAGGAATTTATCTGAGAAAAGGAGAGATAAGGGCAAACAGTTCAAGGGGATGGGAGGGTTTAGTGAAAGATTTTTAATAATGGGGGAGTCTGAGGTATGTTTGAAGGCAATACAGAAAGGACCAGTTGATAGGAAAAGGTCAAAAATTAATGGGGCGGTGATTGGGGATTCAATCAACTGGAAAAAGCAAGAAGGGATGGGATCAAGTGTATACATAGATGGGTTGGTGTTTTTAAGAATAGCCAACTTAGGTTAGACATTGGAGAAAAGGAGGAGAGAGTAGGGGAAGATGTTAAAAGGTTTCTGATATGAAGGAAATAGGAAAAGATGGAGCTCATATCACAACACCTCAGCTTTCCTCATAGAGTAAGATTCAAGGTACTCAGCTGAGAAAGGTGGGTGGGGGAGTTGGTGCAGGAGGTTTGAGGAATGAAGAGAAAAAGGATTGGAATAGGTTCTGTAGGAAGGTAGACAGGTAGTCAATTTTTGTTGTTGTTCAGTCATGTCCAGTTCTTCGTGATCTCATGAACCGTACCATCCATGGGGTTTTGTTGGCAAAAATACTGGAGTGGTTTGCCATTTCCTTCTGAAGTGGATTAAAGCAAACAGAGGTTAAGTGTCTTGCCCAAGGTCACATAGCTAGTAAGTATCTGAGGCCAGATTTTAACTCAGGTCTTCCTGAGTCTATGCCCAGTACTCTATTCACTAAGCTACTTAGCTGCCTCCTAGGTAGTCAATTAGAAAGGATTGCCTTCCTTCATTGAGGGCCCAAATGTCAACTAACGAGGATTTGTCATGTATTCAGCACTTGTGAGACTTTTCCCAGCTCTGTTGAGTGACCTCCAAATGGAAGATGAGAAGGTAAATAATGGGAACAATTCAGGGCTGAAATTCAGAAAGAGATGAGTGGTGATAAGACAAGGGAATAAGGGATCCAAGAGCAAAGAACAGTGAAATGACTGACTATTGGGTTGAGACTTTAGAGAGAAGAAAGCAAAGTTTGAGCATTGGTGATGGCCCAAGAAAATACTCATCTCTGAGTCTATAGAATATGACGTGGTTTTAACTTATTCCCAATACTGGCCACAGTAAAATAAAGTCGGACCATTACAAAGAAATGTGCTTGAGAAACAATAATTTGAGTTTTTGGATTGTTGATTCATCTCTTATGAGTTGTTGCTTTGCACAGGACAATTGGGCTTGACTTTATCCTTCCTATGGTGCTCCATGCCTGCAGAGATGGCGGTAAGGTTATGACTAAGTCTAATAGCACATCAGTGACACATAGACCAGAAGATCATTTTTGACAATCAGTGATTGGTTTCCACAGTGTATCCAATCACTATCTCAGAGATTCTGGGAAAGTAGCTGAAGCAGAAATTAGTTGAAGTAAAAAGCTGGTAAAATGGTGCCTTGTCTTAGGAGAGACAACTTAGAGGGAACATGGTAGCAATTTATGAGGGGCTGTTATATGGGAGACACGTTAGGTTTACTTTGCTTGGCTCCAGGGACAGAAGTAGGAGCAATGGGTGGAAGTTACAATAAAGCAGATATAGGCTCTGTGGCATAGCAGAAAGATTTGAAATGAGAGGCCCTGGGTTCAAATCCTGATTCAGCCACTTACAACTTCAGTGGCCTTGTGCATTTAATATCTTCAAGGCCTCAGAATTCTCATCTATAAAATTAGGAGTTAGTTTAGATTGGCTCTGAGATCCCTTCCAGCTACAAATCTGTCATTCTAGGCTTCATGAGAGAATTTTCTAAAAGTGGAATCAGGTATCTCAGGAAAGAGGGGTTTTCATTTGCTAGAGGCTGTCAGGGAAAGGCTCACTACATGTTGGATATACCACAGAGGAAATTCTTTTTTAAAAAACATATTTTTTTCCTCAATTACATGTGAAAACAATTTTTAACATTTGGTTTTTAAAATTTTGAATTCCAAATTATCTTCCTCCCTCCCCTCCCCTCTGCCTGAGGTGGTAAGCAATTTGATATAGGTTATACATGTGTAATCATGCAAAACACATTTTCATATTAGTCATGTTGTGAAAGAAAACACACATGAAAAAAAGCACTATGAAAAAATAAAATGAAAAATAGTATGCTCTGATCCGCATTCAGAGTCCCATCAGTTCTTTCTCTGGAGATGGATAGCATTTTTCATCATGCGTCCTTTGAAATTGTCTGGAATCATTATATTGCTGAGAAGAGATAAGTCATTTATAGCTGATTATCACACAATATTGCTGTTCATGTGTAAAGTGTTCTCCTGATTCTGCTCACTTCATTTTGCATCAGTTCATGTTAAGTCTAGGTTTTTCTGAAAGCATCCTGCTCAGCCTTTCTCATCCATCAATAGTATCCTATCATAATCATATATCACAATTTGTTTAGCCATTGCCAATTAATGGAAATACTCTAAATTTCCAACTCTTTGCCATCACCAAAAGAGCTTCTATGAACATTTTTGTACAAATAGATCCCATTTTTCTTTGTCTATTCGAGATAGAGACCTAGTAACAGTACTACTAGATCAAAGGGCACGCACAGTTTTATAGTCCCTTAACCATACCTCATGGAGGAGATTCTTGTCCAAGTATGGGTTGGACTTAATGATCTTTGAGATAGGTCCCTTAAAACTCTGAAAGTCTGAGATTCTAGCTCTGCTATAGGGTTGAGGATAGATTTTGATCAGAATGTTTTTAGTTGTTGACTCTGCTTTCCTGCTATTTCTGGGTTGTTTAGGAGAGGTTCAAATCAAATCAAGTCAACAAAGTATTTTCAAGTGCCTACTACACGTCAGGCATTGCGCTAAGCACTGAAGATATAAAGGAAGGCAAAAAACATAGTCTTCATCCTCAGGGAGCTCACATTTTAATGAGGGATACAACATGCAAACACATATGTATAAACAAGATATAGACAGGATAAATTGGAGGTAATCTCAGAGGGAAGACAATAATATTAAGGGGGCCTGGGAAAGACTTCATACTCAAGGTGGGATTTGAGTTAGTACTTGAAGGATGCCAAAAGATGGAGGCAGGAGAGAGAGAATATAAGGCATGGGAAACACCATTGAAAATTCCCAGAGCCAAGAGATAGTGTCTTGTATGAAGCATAGCAGGGAGGCCAGTATCATGGGCTTGAAGAGCACATGAAGGGAAATAAGGTGTAAGAAGACTAATAAAAAAGGAACAAGGTTAAAAAGGGCTTTATAAACCAAACAAAAGAATTTATATTTGATCCTGTAGGTAGTAGAAAGCCACAGGAATTTATTGAATGGGAGTTAGGGGAGTTAGCATGGTCAGATTTGCACTGTATGAAGATCAGTTTAACAGCTGAGTGGAGAATGGACTGAAGTGGGGAGAGACTTAATGCAAGGAGACAAACCAGGTGGTGATGAGAGCCTGTACTGGGTGGGGGGCAGTGTCAGAGGAGGAAAGGGGCAGTATACCACAGGTCTTGACAACAGAGAGGAAATGGAAGTTAAGAGAGAGTGAGGAGTCAAGGATGACACAGACTGCAAAGAGAGGGGTAGGGCTCCAAATGCTGGATAAAGACCTTAAGACTTTATAGATAGACCATTGAGATAGATCCTCTTTTGTCTTATGGTGTTTTCTTAACAAGTGAAGGAGTAGGAGCACAGTGATGGGGGACAAAGATTTGCTTAAAATGCAGGTAGAATTGTCCCTGAAATGATACATTGTAAAACATGTATTATATGATTGATCGATCTATCTACCCATCTATCTATCTATCTATCTATCTATCTATCTATCTATCTATCTATCTATCGACTCTGGGTATCAGAGCTATCCTCTAATCTTTATAAAGGGAACATATTTGAGATCTTCAGGCAAGTATTATGTTTCCAGTAATAAACTTGGGTTTGTTATGAGTTACTTGACCTCTCCATACCAATTCTGCTGAATCTCCAGACGGAATCAACCCCATAGTCTTTCAGAACTGCAGTGTAACAGTACTGAAAAAGAGGCACAGAGTGTCCTTGAATTTGCCCTTGCCAGTATCTGATAAAGAACAACAGCAGATATTCTCTCCTTGGCTCTCATTCATCACATGAAACTTTGGGGACCTGTTTCCTGCCCTGACTCTGGGGTTGGAAGGAGGTGGAATGCAGTGGGAATATAAAAGAGACAATCTGGTTCTCTCTCTCTCTTTCTTTTGTAGCTTCCAGAGAGGCAGGACTGCTTTGGAAAAGCCTTAAGAAGACTTGGTAAAGTGATGATTAAGATCATAGGATCTGCAGTTGGAAGGAAGCTGAGAAATCACCATCTAGCTCAGTGGTCTTCAAACTTTTGTGACTGTGCTACCCTACCAGTAAAACATTTCAGAGCATGCATTCCCAATATACAGGCATACCATGAAGATGTTGTAGGTTTGATTCCAGACCACTGCAATAGAGTGAATATAGTAATAAAACAAGTCACATGAATTTTTTGGGTTCCCAGGAATATAAAAGTTATATTTACACTATACTGTAGTCTGTTAAGTGTGCAATATAGTATTATGTCTTAAAAGGTACATATCTTAATTTTAAATACTTTATTTCTAAATAATTTCAACCATCTTCTGAGCCTTTAGCTAGTTGTAATCTTTTTTGCTGGTGGAGGGACTTGCCTTGATGTTGATGGCTGCTGACTGATCAGGGTGGTGGTTACTGAAGGTTGGGGTGGCTGTGGAAATTTCTTAAAATAAGATAACAATGAAGTTTGCTTCATCCATTGACTCTTCCTTTCACTTGAACACTTAGAGGCCATTGTAGGGTTATTAATTGGCCTAATTTCAATACTGTGTCTCAGGGAATAGGGAAGCCTGCGGAGCAGGACAAAGACAGTGAATGGCTGGTCGATGGAGCAATCAGAACACATACAACATAGATCGATTAATTTTGCTGTCTTATATGGGCACAATTTGTGGCTCCCCAAAACAATTACAGTAGTAACATCAAAGACCACTGATCACCATAACAGATATGATCATAATGAAAAAGTTTGAAATATTGTGAGAATTACCAAAATATGACACAGAGACATAATGTGAACACAGCATGTTAGGAAAATGATACTGATAGACTTGCTCCACACAGGGTTGCCACAAACCTTCAATTTGTAAAAAAAAAAATGCACTATCTGTGAAGAGCAATAAATGAGGTATGCCTGTGTGTATATTTATTTACTTATGAATTATACACATGTATTATACTAATTATTATACTATATATATTTTGTTGTTGTTCAGTTGTTTTTCAGTTGGGCCCAACTCTTTGTTACCCCATTTGGGATTTTCTTGGCTAAAATACTGGAGTGGTTTGCTATTTCCTTCTCTAGCTCATTTTATAGGAGAGGAAACTGAGGCAAACAGGGTTCAGTGACTTGTCCGGGATCAGATAACTAGTAAATGTCTGAGGCTGGGTTTGAACTCAAAAAGATGAGTCTTCCTACTTCAGGCCTAGCCCTCTATCTATTGTACCACATAGGTGTCCACTATATATTATACTAATGTATTAATTAATTATATTAATCTCAATAATGAATTAATCAGAATGTGTTAATTCTGTACATCATATGAATTTATATATTTTACATATATAAAACTAATAATTACGTATGTTACATAAAGTTTACCTAGAAATTAAAATTTTAAGAGTGAGGTAAATATAAAATAATATTTTATTAATGACACAAAACCCCTTTTTGCTCCTACTAAAATATTATCTATAATTAAATTTTAGTGAGAATATTGTCATTGAATATGATTTATTCTTTTTGAAAATCTTGGTTTGATACTTTGTGATACAGTAATTTAAAGGTTTGCCTACTAAATTTTGGGGCATCTAGGTGGTGCGGGGGATAGAACACTGGGCCTGGAGTCAGGAAGGACCTGAATTCAAATCTGACCTCAGACACTTAGCAGCCATATGATTATGGGCAAATTACTTAACTCTGTTTGCCTCAGTTTCCTCATCAGTAAAATGAGCTGGAGAAGGAAATGGCAAACCACTCCAGTATCTCTGCCAAGAAAACCCCCAGTGGGGTTGCAAAGAGTCAGACATGGGGGCAGCTAGGTGGTGCAGTGGATAGAGCACTGGCCGTGAAGTCAGGAGTACCTGAGTTCAAATCCAGCCTCAGAGCAAACACTTGACATTTACTAGCTGTGTGACCCTGGGCAAGTCACTTAACCTCAGTTGCCTAAAAAAATAAAATTAAATTAAATTAAAAAAAGAGTCAGACATGATTGGAAAAGACTGAACAACAATAACAAATTACTAAATTCAGTTTATTTCAAAACTCAGCGAGAAACACACTAGCTCTAGAGTCAGAGAACCTTGTTTCAAATCCTACCTCTGAGGCTTACTACCAGTGTAATGTGGAGCAGGTCATTTTAACCTCCATGGACCTTGATATCCTCAAGTGACAAAGGAGGGAGCTGAACTAGATGCCCCAGAAAGTCCTTTCCCTCTCTAAATCTATGATGCCATGAAAGAGACAGCACCAAAATTATCTTTGCCCATGCTTGACGTTGAATTCCCCATCCCATCTACGAATTACACAAATTTTTTTGTTGTCATCAATTAGCAAATGTTCATCTTCTCCAATGTCAATCAATTGTTCTTGTAACAATTAGTTAATTGAGAAGCTGTTGCACTTTTGTATTTTTTACAAATAATAGATTTGGGAGTTGTGTCCCCATCCAGAGAAACCCTGCTTGTAGGCAGCAAAACACCACATTTCCAGTCCAAAATGAATTCAAAACCTGCTGAAACTTTTTATTAGGGAGATTTTGAAATAAGTCAGAGAATTCTGTTCCTAAGCTTTATATATCTATATATCTATATCTATATCTATATCTATATCTATATCTATATCTATATCTATATCTATATCTACATCTATATCTGTATCTGTATCTGTATCTGTATCTGTATCTATATCTATATCTATATCTATATCTATATCTATCTATCTATCTATCTACATATATGTGAGAATTTTTAAAAAGTTAACACAGTTTTCAGCCACTTGAAAAGAATAAATATAGTCAGTAGAAAATAAACATTTATCAAGTGTCTATTATACGCCAGGCACTATGCTAAGCAGTGGGAATGCAAATATGAAAAGAAAGGTACTCTCTGTCCTCAAGGAACTTATAATCTAACAATATAATAAATATACTGAGGGAGAGAGTGGTCAACAGTGTTAAATACTGCAGAGGGGTCAAGAAGGATGAGGATTTGGAAGAGTCCATTAGGTTTATCAATCATTGGTAGTTTTGGAAAGAGCAGTTTTCATTGAATGAAGAGTCAAGGATAAAGGAGAAGGCTGACAACTTGGTAGAATGGAGAAGTAGTGGTTCCTTAAATTGGAAATAGGAAAATACAGAAGAGAGGTAAGTACTGGGGAAAAGATTATGTACCTGCACTGTATATCAATATATATTGCAAATCACCCACATCTAGCCAATCATCTGCTATTCACTCTTTCCCATAAAAAAAAAGAAAGGAAGGAAGGAAGGAAGAAAAGTATACGTGTAGATCTTTCTCTTTAGTCACTGTCCCCCACAGAGTCTACTTGCTTGAGAGGAGCCCATGGCAATACAATATGATCTGAAGAACAGGTTTGGGGGATGCTGGGGTGGGGTGGGTTATAATTTCTGATTCCAGGTGCTGAACAATAAATAGGGGAGTGTTGAGCTATAATAAGTGAAGGGGAGGCTGTGTTGTGTTGGAGGCCAGTCTGTCATTGGCTATAATATGAAAGGTGGAATGTGGCATACCTTCCCACTCTGATTGGTTGTTCACATAGCCCATGGAGTCAGGCCAAGGTCCCCTCTTTGGAGACTACTGATCAAATTCAACTCCTTCATTTTACAAATGTGGAAACAGAGACCTAGAGAGGTAAAAATGACTTGCCCAAGATCGCACAAATAGTATAAGCTCCTTAGTTATTTCCAGGTTTTTAGAAGTTGAGTTCACTATCTGTGCATGTTACTGATCTGAGCTCCCATTTCCCCCATTTCTGATCTCTTCCCTTCGAGCAGCTAATATATTAATCTTATGATATACATCATATTAGTGAAAAAGGACAATTTACTTAACACACATGAAGAGCCAATAGCAGGAAAATACACTAAACAGTAGACTTTCTCACAGCATCTCAGAAAGCCTTCTCTCAACCTACAAGTGGTGAATCTAGGTTCCCTACCCCTGGCCGCCTCTAGACCATCTACATTTCTTTTGCCTCTTCCTACGGGGGGAAGGGACCCAGACAGTTTATAGTCTGTTTCACTCTCACTCAAATAATCCTTCTGTTCCCCCAACACAAGCCAAGGGAAGGGATAATGGGGCTGGGGAAAAAGCTCAGCGACTCACATCCGGTGGTGGGGGCTTTTGCTTCAGCCCTAGAGTTGTGCTGGGCATCCGAACTGGAAACAGAATGCATTGTTGCCTGTGAGTGGAACCATCCTGGACTTGGGATAAGCAGCTTTGGTCTTATTTTGCTCTTTTCAGGCTCCACAGCATTTTCTAGACATTTCCAGCCACGTACACTGCCACTTCCCTTTCTGTGTGGAAGGCACAGATTGTCTTGCTTGTGCTTTTTTTTTTATATATATTTCCAGTGCTTTACCTGGTGCCTGGTACATAGTAAATTTGTTTGTCTTTCTGTCTGTCTGTCTCTCCATCTATCCAACTGAAACTGTACCAGACATATAGAGTGGAGTCAGAACTGAACCTGTGATTTCACTGGGCATGGGTGATGCCCAGTGAAGAACTTCTACCAATGCAGGATAGCTCTTTTTTTTTTTTAAATGAATGATCAGTATTTGAATTCAGGTTCTCAAGCTTTACATCCAGTCCTCTTTCTACTCTCCCTTTCTTTCCCCCCTCATTTTCTGTGCCAAACTCCTAGAAAACTTTGTCTGCACTTGTCCTTTTTTCCTTCACTTTTACTTATTTCTTAATCCCTTACAATTTGGCTTCCACTCCACAATTTGACTAAAACTGCTCGTTCTAAGGTTAATTGCTCAATCAGTGGTCTTTTCTCAGACTTAGCTCCCTTAACCTCTCAGGCACTTTTCTACACCATTTACCACACCCTTCTCCTAAATGCTCTCTCCTTCCTTCTGAAACATTACTCTCTCCTCTTCTCTGTCTGACTCCTCATTCTTCATTACCTTTCCTCATTCGTCATCTTCTTTGCACCAAATGCAGGCACTCTCTCTCTCCCTGTCCTGGACCTGTCTCTGTACTTTCTCTCTTGGCAATGACATTAGTTCCCACAGGCTTGTCATCCCTGTACATATCATGCAAATATCCAGCTGCAATATCTCATTTTCACTCTGGGTTTGATTGATAACTTCCTGCTGGACATCAATACCTATATGTTCCCTAGGCATTTCAAACTCAACATGTTCAAAATGGGAC